TGATAAACCCTGCCTCGCATCTATCGCCGCTGTTTCAGCTTCGTTTACCCTAGATAGGGCATCCGGTACGACATTCAACTTCCCACTTCTATGCTCAATCTTAAAGTTGAATCCTTGGAGTTTTAAAGCCCAGCGAGCTAGACGAGAATGGAGATCTGTTTGGGACATTAACCACTTTAGGGAAGCATGATCGGTAATGACAGTAAATTCATGTCCTTCCACATAAGGACGAAACCGCTTAATACAAATGATAGCCGCCAGGCATTCCTGTTCAGTCACTGAATAATTCCTTTGCGCTTTATTCAATTTCTTGGACACAAACGCAATCGGATATTCATCGCCTTGGTCTGACTTCTGCACCAATACCCCGCCAACTCCTGACTTGCTTGCATCACATTGGACATAGAAGGGTCTTGTAAAATCGGGGCTTCGTAGGACTGGGGCAGAACACAACATTTCCTTCAACAAGACAAACGCTTTCTCACCTTCTGGAGTCATATGAAATTTTTTTCCTGGCTTCAACAAATCTGTAAGTGGAGCAGCCACCGAAGCAAAATTACTAATAAATTTACGATACCACCCCACCATGCCTAGAAAACTTCGCAACGATCTTAAACTTTTTGGTAGCGGAAAGTCTGCCATAGCCGAAATTTTCTCGGGATCAGTACGAATGATGCCTTCACCTACGATGTGCCCTAAATACTTTACTGAACGCATACAGAATTTGCTTTTTTCCACATTCAGCGTAAGTCCAGCAGCTTTGATTTGATCTGCTACGGCACTTAGTACTTTTAAATGTGTTTCGAAAGTATCTGAAACCACCAGCAAATCATCCAGATAGACGAAGACTTCATTTCTAAGATCGGGCGGAATTACCTTATCCATTAGTCGGGTCATTGTTTGGGACGCGTTAGTTAGACCGAATGGCATCACCTTATATTGGTACAAAGGCTTTCCGGGAATTGTAAAGGCGGTTTTATCTCGAGACTTTTCCTCTAAAGGAATCTGCCAATATGCATCTTTAAGATCCAAGCTTGAGATATACATAGCCTTGGGCAGTCGAGATAAAATACCATCAATTTGTGGCAAGGGGTATGCATCCTTCGTAGTAACCAAATTTACTTTCCGACTGTCTAGACATAACCGCACCTTTCCGGGCTTCTGCACCAGGACCACGGGCGAGGACCACGCACTCTGAGATTCCTCGATGACCCCCATCGCTAACATCCGATCGATTTCTTGGTAAAGTAGCTTTTCGACTGCGGGAGACACCGGAAAATGACGTTGTTTTACTGGCTTTGCTTCGCCGACATCAATTTCATGGCATATAAGGGATGTTTTCCCTAGCCCTGATACAGCAAACGATGGAAATTTCCCTATTACCTCACTTAGGCAACCTCGTTGTTCTTCTGATAGCATGTGTGAATCCGCGGTGATTTCGGAAATCTGCATGGATGGTGGCAAGAGATTGAACGTGGACCAAAAACTAATTCCCAAGTACAAATCCTGGCTTAGCGACGGAATAATGTGAAATTCTAAATCTTTGGCCACATCCTTGTACTTTACTTCCGTTTTTAATTTTCCCACCACGTCTTGTCTTCGACCATCAGCCGTTGTGGCCACTGTAGGCACTATCTTGAAAGGAATTCTGCTTCGAATTAATTGTTCTGCCAACTTGCCTCCAATAACATTGATGGCGGCCCCGGTATCCAACAGACCAACAACTATTCTATCTAAAAGCCTGACTTCAGCGTATGGACGATTATCATTGTTCTTATACCTGATAGTATTAATAGTTTTAACGTTTTTCCAATATGCTCTTATTCTATTCTTATTTCTAGATGCCACTGGATTCTGGGGAATTTTTCCAAACTCTTTTTTCTTGCTGGGCCACTAAACTCGGCCAACACATTTCAGTTGTGCTACCTGTACTCAAAACTTCTGGCTTCTCGATCACTTGGGAAGGCTTTACGGGCTCAGATCCTTGTTCGACGGCTGATTTTTCCGAACACTCGCCTGCTGTCGACTGCTGGCGGTGTTCGCCTTGCCGTTTTTTGGCACCTTGAGCAACTTGGCTTATAAGCGTTCGCTGCACCACACCCGAAACAAAAAACCCTTCTTTTTGCTTCCGCAGTCTTGGTAGCGATGGCCTTCCTTTCTGCAATTCCAGCATATTAGGGCCAAAGCACCCACTTCCGCATCCTGATCGCCCTCAGAAAATTCTGCTGCTTCTTCCATTTCTTCCAACAATTCTGCAACCTGCTTACGGAATGGTACAACCCTTTGATACCCTTGGGATTTTCGAGCATCTTCCAAGAAACTTTCCCTTCGACGACATATTTCTCGGAGTTTTTCTACCGATCTTATAGGAATGTTGAGGATCTCATGCCTAATTTCAGGCCTTAAATTCCTCTTTAGGATCTCCACTAATTCTATCTCCGTGAAGGGCATATCCAGATGGTCCATCAACTCTTCGATCGCATCGTAGAACGAATCGAACCCTTCTCTTTCTCGTTGTTTTCGATCGCGAATGGATTCCCGAATATCTAAGTCCGACCGAGCGTCTCTAAACTGCCTTCTCAGTGCCGTACATAGGTATTCCCAGCGTAATTCCTGAGTATTTTTGTGGTGACGCCAATAGAATTCACGCGCTTTTCCTTCGAATAGAAGGCTTGCATTGCTGCTCAGGACCGAAAAATTCCCTTCCAGCATTTGGTCGGTGAGAGCTTCTACTCTGTAGATGAAATTATCGACGCTGATCCCATCCGGATTTCCGCTGAAGCGTAATTTCCAGCTATTTATGATATGGCCTACCTTGTCTGGCCTATGGCTCAAATCGGACTGGCCGCTTCTTGGCGTTACTCGACCAGAACCGCTTGGACCGTTAAAATTGTCTAAATTAATGGGGCCTAGAGAATTTCTTCCCGACTGGCTTTCCACTATCGGTTCCACCGACCGAAAATGTGCGGATAAATTAGTCTGGATTAGTTGGGACATTTTCTCAGATAGCTGGGTTAAAAGGTCATTCTGCATTGATTGCACTGTACTCGCAACTGCGTTTTGAATTAGTTCCGCCTGAGCCGCCCCCAAAACTGCTGACCCTGATGAGCCACTGGGCGTCCGATCGCTGGCCAATAAAATATGTCCTTTCTGCCCTCTTGTGTTTTGAGATGGGGTTGACGGCTTCTCAAAACACACTGTGTTGCACGTAGGGCAGGTAGACTTGGTCTTCGAGTGGGTTACGATGCAAGACTGGTGAAATTCGTGACCACATTTTGTTTTATATGTTTTCCCACTATCGAGATTGTTTTCACACAAAGAGCACTTTTGTGCCGCGTTTCCCTCCGAATCTGGCATGTTTAATGGCGAATAATATTCTTATATAGTGTAATATATTAAAAATTAAGAGATTAAGAATAGTAAAAAAAATAAACTCAAAAATGGCAAAAAAATAAAATAAAAATGGTATATAGAAAAGACAAATTTAAAAATGGTAAAAAGTAAATTGAATATGGTAGTAAAATAAAATGGTATAAATAAAAGACAAATGAAATATGGTAAGAATAAATTAAAAATGGTAGTGGAATAAATTGGTATGACTCGAGACAAATTTTAGAATTGCTAAAATTCCAAATTCTGTCCTCTTCGACTCCAAACGAACAAAAAGGTGTTCAATTCGAACGAACCTGATTAAGTGCAGATATCGAACTCAAACCAAAGTTTACGAAATAACCAAGAAATTGCGAATGAGGAAGAACACTTGCAAATATTCGGAACAAAAAAAAATCACAAACTCGGAAACAAAAATTATCAGAAATAAATCGACCTCAAGCATGACTAATCCCCGTGAGATAAGACCCAAATACAAAGAGAGAAAAAAAAAGATAAGAAGATAGGAAAAAATTGTAATGCGCGTGTCTGACGCCCGTCTGCTGCTTGCACAACTACAACAGCAACAGGTACGGCTGGCGCTTGCGGTTAGGCGGCTGCGATCAGACGCTTTTGCCTATCATCCGAGCTACGCACACTGCAATTAGGGTATACCGATTTCCCATTTATCGTGGTCAGTAAATTTAATAAAATATTGAATCACTGCTATTCCAATGCGATTAAGGGAAGGGTGATTTATTTATTGCTTGACCATCATACGTGGTTAGGCTCTTCGCGTTAAAAAAAATCAAATGCCTATTGGTCCTATGCGTCTGATGGAAAAGAAAACTATTGATTCGAAACCAAAAAGATTAGGGTGTTTAAAAAATGTTTCCTCTCCCAAAATCAAATCGAATCGTGGCTGGTCGACTAAGTCTTTACACTCCTTGGTCAGACCATTTCCAAATCGACTGATCGAACTTCGAGCGAGGTTTGATGCTGGTTTGATGCTGGTTTGATTAGCGCAGACTCAAACCGTGATTAGGCCAACGACAAAGTCGTTTAATTCCCCCACGAGTCTGAAAATGTAACTGCGCAAATTTGGCTAGAACGAGGATTGCGAATTGAGCTACGTGAAATTACGTGGCCCTTGAGTTGGGCGCCATTTTAATAATAATGATAATTAATAATGATCATAACTGTAACGAGTATAGTCACGAGCACTATTTTTCAGGCTAGCTGGTGTTGTCGGGGGAGTTGGCGCACGCAGGAATACGAATTCTCCGGCCTCTCGCTCGCCAGCAAATGGGGTGGTGTTCTTGCCGCCTCCTCCCGAAATGCCTGTTGCCATTATTAAATAAAAAAACCTGCGTGCTAAGGCAAGCGTTAGTAATTGGTCACAATCTCTCTAACCAAGATCAGCTAAAAGAAAGAAAAGGAGAAAGAAAAGAGCTCCCTCATATTTGGGACATAGCCTGACACGGCTCGGGACCTCCGATGTTGTTGAAGCCCGACATGCCCTCCCTACCTTCGGCTGCTCTCGTCCAAAAAAAAAGATATTAACTCGCGAGCAGCCCCTATCCGTATCAGGGTCTCACGGGGTCAAGTCTGCTAGAGGTCGAAAATAGGGGTTTTAAAACATTATAAAATTTATTTAACAACTAAACAGTAAGACTTCAAAACCTGACATTAAATTGAGAGACATGCTAAAGACTATAAATACATCGAGGAACATAAATACTTAAATTACATATAAAAACATAAACAAATAAGAAAAATTATTGTCTAACAAAAAGATCAAGTCTTAAAAACAAATCCTCAAAAAACTCCTTATTTGGGTCAGCGGACAAAAATCGAACACTCCTCTTTCGGACATTAAACTTGTAAACGGGCAGTCAAACATATAAACGACCGATCGAACATGCAAAACAAACATATAAACGCGCACTCGAACATACAAAAGCCCGATCGAACATCCAACCGAACTCCGTTGGACTCTCGATCGACTGCGTTATTGAAATTTATCACTTAGTTCTTCACACGGTCTACGGTCATTATTTTTTTACGTTAAGTTGACTTTAATAAAATGACAAGAATAGCAGCAACAGTTTGACTTTATAAGATTTTCTTGATGCGGCTATGTCATCAATGCTTCTATCTTCTCCCTCTCTATCAATTCTCTTTAGTTCCTTTTCTTTAAGGTTATTATTTCAATAGATCTCTTTTTCCACTCACCGCACTTATTTGGCATTCCATCGAAGAAAGCGCTTTCCCGAGGATTGGCGGCTACGAGGGCTAAAAAAAAAGTCACTTCAAGGGGGAAGAAAATATCACATAACAATAACGAGCCAACATAAATTTTAAGTCGTGGGCCCGTCTACACTGCACAAAAAAATGTATCACTCCATTTGGCCACTACCACACAAATAAATATTTTTCTTGAAACCTACACACGAAAACTTATCACTATTTATAATACTAAACAAAAAAAAAAAAAAATATATTCGCCGTCTCCTCTGGATTCGTCTTCTTTCCTCCCGGTGTAGCGCTCCTCCTTCCACTCCGCTTACGCAATCGGCCCTTCTGCTTTTCCTTTGTTTTTCGGACGGCTTCCGACGCGTCGTTCTCGCCCTGGCGGGAAAACGCAAAACCGCGGTCCCCGACGCCTGGCTCTTGGCCCGTATTCGCGTTTGGGCCCTTTTCCGTAGTTCACGCTTAGGGCCCAAAGAAAAATCGCTTAAAAGGGGACTTTACGAGACGACAGCCGCTCGTCGTCGAGCGCGGTTGCAAGCGGACTAAACAGTGAGCTCGAGCTTGTTCGCTATCGAGCCTCGCTCGTAACCCGTTGCCCTAAAATGGGGATCCCTTTGATTTATTCTCTTTCGCATTGATTTGGGCCGGGAATTTCTTGACTTACCCAGTGGACGCCGCCTGTTACAACACAAAAAAAAACGCTGGTCACCACTCGTTTTGGACTTCCGTAATTATAATTGGTACTTAGGGTTGACAAAAGACTGACTGCTCACTTTGACCAACTTGGTACGAATGTGCCACCAGACGCTACCCTTTTTGGCGCTAACCCCCTCGATGGCTCTCATGAGGTGAAATAGGGTGAAAAATCGGATGACACTTGGCCCCGTTTCTCTCATCCCAGTTTCCCTTATTACCATATCACGGTCTCCCCACCCTAGGGGTTGGCGGTTGGTGGCGTCGCTATACGATCTTACAGTCGCAGATACAAGCGTTACAGT